CCGGCCTCCGTGGTGTCTGCCCTGGGCAGATGCAGTTGCACCGGATGCCGGCCTGCGCGGCGTCTCACCCAGGCACACACAGTTGCACCAGACGCCAGCCTGCGCGGTGTCTCACCCGGGCACACGCAGTTGGACCGGATGCCGGCCTGTGCGGTGTCTCACCTGGGCACACGCAGTTGCACCGGATGCCCTGCTGGATGAAGTCCGCAGCCACTGCCTTGGTGAGGCCGATCACGGCCGCCTTGGTCGTGCTGTACACGCACCTGTTCACGACTCCTGCAGGGCGGCGCCCATGGCCGGGGAGGAATCAAAAACAGCTTCCTTTAGAAAGAAAGGCAATCCTGCTGGCTCTCCCCACCGCCTTCTTCTGAAATTAATATCAGATTTTCCCTTCTGACAGGGGCGGTTTCTGAATGTAGGAAAATAATATCAGATGGACACGACTGAGCTGAGACTTAGGTGTGGGGATGCTTCACTTCTCCCGCTCCTCATTGACGGATATAGTCCCCAGGCAGGTTCCAAAGAAACAAAGCAGAAAGAAACGAAGCCAAACAAACAGTAAAAGAGGAGGCGGTGGCACGCCTCTGCGCCCCCTTTTGCGCATGCTCCATGTGTGTATCCTTGCAGAGGGAGGAATGTCGCTTCAGCTGGGGCTATTTCATTTGTTTTAAAGAATTATTTAATTTTGCTTATCATTACTCTTATTATTTAATTTGGTAAGGAGTATGTGCACACACCAGAGAGAGACAGAGAGCGAAAGAGAGAGGGAAAGTGAGAAATGGAGCTACCAGGTCCAGGACTCACACTGCAGTCCACCATGTCACCTGCTGGTCCCCAAACTCATTGATGCCCTGTGCTGGGCTCTGACGTCCACTACATTTTACACCATGCTCCTCTCCCTTCCGTGTGACTTCTGTCCCAGATCACCTGTGGGCAGCGTCACTGCCCTGCATGGTGACAGCACTGTGAGAGGGGTTGCCTGCCTCACTTCCTTGTTTGGGTGTGAATTTTTCTGGGTGTGGCAAGAGCACACGGTGGATGCTCGATGTATTAAAGGACAGGTGTCCCCTTCTGGAATACAAGGAACGGCACAGAAAACAAGTGATCTTACGGCTGGCCCACGGCTAGTCCAAAAGGTCTGATGGCTGAGGAACTCAGTACCGACTTTCCTTTTAATGATTTATTCAGTTTTATTTATTCATTCATTTTGACCACAGAGAGACAGAGAGAGAGAAGAGGAAGGCAAGTGGGAAAGCATGCCACCAGACCCAGGACTCGAACCGCAGTCGGCCACGTGGGAATGTCCAGCGCCTCAATCACCATGCCACCTGCTGGTCCCTCAATACCGACTGTTCTAAAGCAATGCTGAAATGTGTTGGTTTTATGATGTCTATTGTGTCTGCAACCAAACCCCGTAGCCCTGAGGGTGTGGGAGCGTCACCCTCCTTGGGGGACAGAGGCCTGCCTACCTTTGATGCTGGAAGCCACAGACGACATGTTGATGATGTTGCCAGATTTCTGAGCGAGCATCTGCCAAAACGAAGCAGATTCAACAAATACGCACCCTGCTGTCTGAAAACACTACCTCTTCACAAGGCCGGGGGTACTTACGGCTCGCAGAGCCAGTTTATGTCGTATGGCTGACACTGAGCACTGCTGTGCAGTCCGGGAGTGAACCCACAGCCCTCACAGCCGCTGTGGGGACTGCCCAGGTACACACGCCTGCCGGCACTTCAGAGGGGGACACCACTGCCCTGTGGGGACGAGTGTTCACAAGGCCAGGCATACGCTCTCAGCTCAATGGGATGCAAACGGAAGCTAACTGCTTCTGCATTCCTGAGGTCGGGAGACCTACTCCGTTCCATGCACATTTATGCACACCGACTGTGGTCCAGCATGGCATCAGGTCCGGGAGGGTAGGACGAAGCCACAACCCTGGCTGACAGCGACCTGGCAGTCTGACGGCAGGGTGTCATCACCAGGGTCCAGGAAAGCAGAGACCTCCGCAGAGCCTCACGGGGAGGCCAGGGGCAGGAAGGACCACCTTCCGTGCAGGACCCTGGTGCCTGTGCCCTCCGTGCTGTCTCTCAGCGACAGCTCAGCACCCGGACGGTGCAAGACCCCGGCGAGTACGGCTGTACGGCAAAGCATGCCACGCACAGGGTAATGCCACAGAGGCTCAACCTCCCGGCAACTCGGGCCAGACAGACCCTGGGCAGTCCCTCTTGCTGTATGTCGTCTTGCTCTGTCTCAGCCCACCCTCCCTTGACCAGACTCAGATCCCAAACTCAGCACACCATGGCCACTGGGTCTCGGGGTCCATGCCTGACTTCTGCCTGGACAGACACTTTGGTTCATTTATTCATTCAGCAATGTTTGCTGAGCACCTCTAAGTGCTAAGGACCCTCCTAGGATTCGGCAGGGCAAGGCTGGCCCTGTGGCATAGCCGTTAAGTGCTGAGTGGAAGACGCCAGATATCACGTGGCCATCTGTGGTTTGAATCCCAGCCCCGGTGGCTTGAAAAACACACCAGGTGTGAACATGCATGCCCGGGATTTGGAGGGAATGGAGAAATGGAGGACAATGGATTGTGGTGTGAAAAGGCCTCGTTGTGAGGTGTTTTCTCTGTTTGTTTTTCTCTCTGTTGAGTGTGCTCCTGCCCTCTGGCCAAAAAAAAAAAAAAAAGTATTAGGTTGTCAGAAAAGTCATGATGCATTTTTGTATGTATTTCTATGCAAAAACGCGTCATGACTTTTCCAACAATCCAATATATATTGTAAGGGGTAAAAAGCAAGCAGGCAAATAAGCAAACCCAAACAATGAGGACATCCACAAATCTTGGCCCTAACGGATCTCCCTGCAGCGGAGCTCAGGTTCTGCACCGGACTCCTATTATGGTATTTCCAACTTTTTTTTTTTTTTTTTAATTCTTTCTTTATTTAAGAGGTTCTTGCCTTAGGGAGTGTGCACTCACTGGAAAAAGAGAGAGACAGTGAGAGGGAAAGTGAGGAATCACAGCCATGGGGGGGGTAGCCATGCCACAGTCCCTTCTCTTCCATTTCACTCCTGGGATTCTGTATGCACATGGGCCTGACATGATTTTCAAGCTACCAGATCTGGGATCTGAACCGTGGCCGACCATGTGGGAGTCCAGTGATGCAACCACTATGCCATCTGTTGGCTCTTTCAATATTGGCTCTTTCAATGTTTGATTGGTCTTTCAATGATGGACTGCCAGGGAGAGCCCTGCCCCCTGCAGTGGGTGTGAGAAGGCAGCATGGAGGGGGCAGTTCCAGACGAAAGATGGGTTTTCCGAGTATCTGTCCATGGACAAAACTTTCCTACAAGTGTGCCTGTGTTTGATCGCCTGACCTTCCATTTGTGCCCAGACTCCAAATCCTGGCTTCCCCTGGAAAGTTCTAGCCTGGTGTACGTGCGTAATAGTTAACGATACAGAGAACCCGGACACCTGGAGCTGGGCGTGATGTGCAGTCATCACTCCAGTTTTCAGGCGTAAGAACTAGACCTGAGGAGGCACATGTACCATCTCTGGGCACGCGGCCAACTAGGGACAGCGTTCAGACTATGCGGGACATCTGGGACATCTGGGCCCTGGCTGAGATCAGGGGCCAAGTTAGTCATGGCCACTGTATTTTTTTGTTTTTAGTTTTTTAAAAATCCATTTACTTATTCCATGAGAGAGAAAGAGAGAAAAAGAGAACCTGGGGACCAGCAGAGGGCGCAATGGTTACGTTGCTGGACTTCCATGGTCGACCATGTTTTGAGTCACGGACAAAGCAGCCTAAAACTCACACTGGGCGCATGTACACACATGCCCAAGATCCCGAGGGGAGATGGAGAAAGGATTGCGGTGTAGCCGCCCCCCTCCCCCCCCAGGGGGAGTGATTTCTCACTTTCTGTCTCTCTGGTGAGTACACTCACCCTAGAGCAAAAACCTCTCTTAAAAAGAGAACCCAAATACAGCCCATGACACCAAAGTCCACCCTCGATTCCAGCCAGCCCTAGATCATGGGCAACTTACTCAGGGAGGGCTCCGGACTCGAACTGACAACCTTCCCATGTGGGCAGGCTTCTTAAGCACTGCATTTTACCCTCCCGCAGGGCTTGTCCTGGTGGTGGGGTCGTCTCACCTTCGGAAGGAAGGCCTTGATCATCAGGTACATGCTGCGGACGTTGAGGTTCATGGAGAAGTCCCAGTCTTTCTCCTCGCAGTCCAGGATGGTTCCATGATGGACGAAACTGGAGGGCGAGAAAGCAAGGAGGAAAAGTTGCCATGATAAAACATTCTGACCTAGGACTGGCAGGTGGCATGGTGGTTAAAGACGCTGGACTCCCACATGGCTGACTGCAGTTCAAGTCCTGGACATGGTGGCTTGCTTTCTCTCTCTTTCTCTCTCTTCTCTGTCTTGGTCTTGTTCTCCTTGTTCTTGCTCTGCCCCCCCGATCAAATTAAAAATAAACAAAGTTAATAAAATAATTCTAAAAAACCCCAACATTCCAACCCATTTGCTGATCATTTCTATTTATTATTTATGTATTTATTTATTTATTCATCCATTCATTCTCAGTGGCTTCTGATGTACTTATAATTAATGTGTAACTTTGTGAACTGCAGAATGCTTTTTTTAAAAGATTTATTTATTTAATTCCATTTGTTATTATTATATTTTTTTAATCTGACCAAAGAGAGACAGAAAAAGGAAAGAAAGCAAGAAAGCAAGCTGCCAGGTCCAGGGCTCAAAGTACGGTCGGCCATGTGGGAGTCCAATGCCTTTGACCACACCACCTGCTAGCCCCCAGAATGGTTTCTTAAGGCATGCACATAGTACATTAATTGAATCAAGGATATACCCATATTTTTCTTCTTCACATGGAGCATTTACCTTATGTCGTGCACATTTTTAAGAGTTCTACTGGCTTTTGTAAAAAATAGGTATCAGATTGCCCATCTTTTTACACTGCTGTGACCCACCGTCCCGTAGCTGCTTCCTATGTACATACACTCTGTCCATTACAACTCTTCTCATGCCGGTCATTTCTACAGCTCTGCAAGGACTTTCACCCTGTTTTCCTTCTCTTCCCAAGACTTTAAACAACTTAAACACAGTGTCATTTAGTATCGTAGGTTGGTAAGAATTCCATCAACTTAAATGAAAACATTTGTTACCTATAAACATCCTTTTTTAAAAAGAAGAAAGCAAGAGCTCAGGCTGTGTAAAGGTAAGAAACTATACCAGCTGCAATGGCGTTGAAAACAACCAGCCAGAGCAGGGCTTGATTTCACCCAGTTTCCAAGGGCAACAGTGCCCTCCCGTGGCAGATTGAGGATTCTCAAGGGAAATCAAAACTGCAAGGAAAACGCGTGTCCCTACAGCACTTAGCTTCCAAAACACGGTGGAAACCAGGGATGAAGGCTCGAAGCCACCCTTCCTCAAGCAGAAAGCCTTGGTGGCTTTTGGTCCTTATTGTTGGTTGTGACTCCCACAAACCACAGCACTTCTAGATCAGCCGGGGGAGCAGTCTCTCAGTAGAACTACCTGCTATCTTTCTTCATCCCCTACACTGCGGAAAACTTCACAGACGCTCAAAAGTGAGCTCTGCTGGGAACCAGCAGTTAGCGTAATGGCTATGTCGCTGGACTCCCACGTAGTCGACCGCGGTTCGTGTCCCGGACCCGGTGGCTTAAAACTCACGCCGGGCGCGTGTGCGTGCGTGCCCAAGATCCCGAGAGGAGAATGGAGGAGAAGGGATTGCGGCGTGACCATCCCCCCTGGGGGGTGATTTCTCGCTTTCTGTCTCTATGTCTCTCTCTGTCTGTCTGGCGAGCGCACGCGCCCTACAGTGAAAATCTCTCCAAAAAAGAAAAAAAAAAAAAGTGAGCTCTGCTGCTTCTTTCATGGTCCTACGTGCGACGAGATTATTTATCAAGCAGATCAGAAAGAGGTCCAGCCTCGGTGGTGCCATTGAGAGGGAGCCGCTGCGCAGCAGCTGGGACCACACGGGAGGTCTGGGTTCAGCTCCCTGGTGCAGTTCTGGGCTCAGAACAGGCCGCAGACGTGGTAGATGCCTGTGACCTACCAGACCGGGCAGGGAGAATGAGGATGAGGCGAGGTGCTGTCAGAAAATAAATAAATAGGGGCCAGCAAGTGGCATGGTGGTTAAGGTGATGGACTACCTCCCACGGTTCAAGTCCCAGACCTGGAAGCTTGAAAACCCTGCCAGGCACGTGTGGATGTGTGCTGAAAATCCTAACAGGAGGATGGAGAAGAAGGGATTCCCGTGTGGCCACCTCTCTCAGGTGAGTGATTTCTCACTTTCCCTCTGTCTCTCTCCGGCAAGCACACATACCCAATGACAAAAACCTAAAACAAACAAGAAAACCCCAAGAAATAAATCTCTCTCAATACCATAAAAAAAAAGAGAGAAGGATCCACCCCATAGCCTCTTTGCTCAGGAAGCTGGATCCCAGATGGCTGACCACAGTTCAAATCCCAGTCCAGTGGCTCAAAAAACACTGGGTGCATATGTGTGAGAGTCTCAAATCCTGATCGGATGGGGACATAGAGGAGGATTGCAAGGTGGTCAGGCCCTACTCGGGGGTGCTTTCTCTGTCTTTCTCCCTGTCTCTCTGGGGAGCACACATGCTCTCTATTAAAAATAAAAAGAAGAAATGATTAACTCCCATACACTCATATAACACATGACACAGCTATGTATCAGTGTCAGCATCTTGACTTCACCTGCCCTGAGGCCTAGTCCATGTAAGCTGCTACAGCTGTCTACCTTGCTGTTCTGTGCAATTAAAATTCTGTCCAGAACTAGCCATACTGCTCAAGGGATATATCATGATTCACAACTACTATTTTTTTCTATATTATCAAAATTCTTTTAATAAAAGTCACAGGGAAGTTTTCCGTAAGAAAAGTACAAAGAAAAGTTTATAAACAATTATGAATTACCCGGCAACATTAAAGAGAACGTCAAGCCTCTCGACTTCATTGGCAAACTGATCGATTTGTTTCTTCTTTGTCACATCCAGGACACGAGTTTGAATACCTGAAAATAAAATAATAAGCCACAATGTATAACCATAAAGAATGTTCAGCCTTGAATATTTGTCTGCTTTGAAGTGTGAAGACTGCAACATCTACCCAGGTAGGCACTCCAAGATTATCGACCATTACTAGGGCCTTAAAAGTCTTAACAATCTCAGTAGTGACTCTTAAGTCCATGTTGACCCACCCCCCAAAATAACACACCCACCCCTCTCGCTCCCTATCCTCTGGTTTCTAAACTGAACAGAGAGTCGGACTGGTAAGTGCACATGGGCCGTCTGAGCCGCCCTCCCGTAGACACTTCTACCTGCGTACAGGGGGAACGGCTGGGAGTGTGGGGGGACTTTCTGTCCAGGAGCTTCGCCATTAGGTCATTGCCGGTACTTGTCAGACATGACTCTCAGACGAGGGCATCAGCACTTATCTCTGGGCTGAACAGCAAGGAGAAATGAGGGGCTCAGAGGAAGCGACGGGGCACGGAAGGCTGGCCATGTGAGATCCAGCGCGAGTCTGAGATACGCATTATCCGAGTTACTGAAAAACCCCATCTGTTGGCTGATAAAGGCAGCATTTATGTCTCTTACAAAACGATGTTCAGGGGGCCAGCAGGTAGCGTAGTGACTAAGGCACTGGACTCTCTCGTGGCCAGTCGTGTTCGAAAATTATGCTGTGTGTGTGTGTGTGTGTGTGGGCACGCGCATGCCCCAAATCCCAAGAGAAGGGAATAGAAAGGACTGTGGCATGGCCATCCCCCTGGAGGGGCACTGCTCACTTGTCCCCTCTGTCTCTCTCTGGAGAGTGCACGCACCCGATAGCAAAACAAAACAAAAAACCTTGCATACCTTGATGATGTACAGTTTTAATTTGTCAATTATGCCTCAGTAGAGTTGAAAACTTAATGATTAAACTGGGGGACCAGCAGGTGGTGTGGTGGTTAAGGCGCTGGACACTCCCACATGGCCAACTATGGTTCAAGTCCTGGATCTGGTGGCTTGCTTTCCCACTTTCTCTCTCTCTCTGATCAAATTAAATAAATGAAAAAAATGAAATTAAATAAATTATTTTTAAAAGGTTATAATAAAGTTCTAATAGGTTTAGTATAAAAAAAAGACTGTGAGATTCCATCGCTCATTATTTACATTGGCTCCATATTGAGATGATAATACTTTAGATATATTGCATTGAATAGAGACAGCATTAAAGTTATTTATCATCTTTTTTTCCCTTTTTAAAGTTAGTTGTATTCATGTTAGAGACGCACGCATGTGTACGGGGAAGAGCGAGGCACGGGTCTGCTAGGTCTCTGCCCGCCGCGATGCCCTTCCCCAGCTCCCTGGACTCTTGGGCACGTGCCCACAGTGTTTTCTAGTCGGTTCTGGAATTCAAGCCGTGGTTGGCTACAAAGCTCCCAATGCCACAGTACAGTTTGCCATTGGCTAAGTCTCTTTTCACTTTAAAAAAGTTTACTTTTACCAGAGGACACATGTGGTCTCTGGAGAAAGAAAGAGACAGAGAGGGAAAGTGAGAAGGCACTGCACCCCCATGGGGAATGGTAACGCTGCAATCCTCTCTGCTCTGTCCCTCCTTCCTTTCGGGACCCTAGGAAAGCATGCGCATGTGCCCAGTGTGTGTCTCAAACCACCAGGTCAGGGCCTACACCCATGCAGTTCGTGGCCACGCGGGGTCGAGCCGCCCTGACCAGCACTCCACCTGCTGGCCCGACCCTTCACTTGTCTGATGTGGCTACTGGAACATTTAACACCACGTGGCTCCTGTGGTGTTCCCGCTGGACTGTGCTGCCCAGGGAGGAAGGTGCAGAAGTGAAAAGCTGCTGTCCAAAGTTAACAACTGGTGGGCCAGCAGGAGGCATAGTGGTTAAGGCGCTGGACTCCCACATGGCCGACCATGGTTCGAGACCTGGATCTGGCAGCTTGAAACTCAGCACATATGCATGTATGCCCCAAATCCCCCAAATCAGGAGGAGAATGGAGAAGGGATTATGGAGTGGCCCTTCCCCTGGGAGCTGATTTCTCACTTTCCCTCTCTCTGTCTCTCTGGTGAGCGCTCATGCCCTGTGGTAAAAACCTTAAAAAAAATGAATTGTTAAATTTTCACAGGTCATTTTGTAATTAGTAACTAAATCCCTCAACAGGTTGAAGAAACACAGAATTAAAAAAATACGTCTTTGATTTTTTTAACATTTAAATGCACAGATTTTTGTGTGTCGGTTTGTGGAATATAGATTCTGTCTCTGCCGGTCATGCTGGGAAGAGCAGCCCAAGGGGCTGAGCAGCTGAGGCACTGCTCCCACACATGAGGCCCTCGCAGGCCGCCTGGCGGCCTCGGATCCCCCGGCTCCGGGCGGCTTACCGGGGTACGTTTCCAGCTCCTGAAGTTTGGCCTCATTGATGTCCGTGGCTATGACTCTGGCACCTTCTCTTGCAAAAGCCTGTTAGGCACGAAGCACAAACACGCCTCTGTTCACGCAGTGACCCGCTTTTCCGAGTGGAAAGTCCTTGGGCCCCGCTTCTCTTTCTCTTCTTTCCAGTTCTGTTTTCCATTTACAACAGGTGAAATTTCACACTCTCTAGTCCGACCTCTACCTCTCCCCTGCTGTTACTTTAAGGAACACCTGGTCATCAGGACCACAGATAACCACCCGTTTGCTGCCCGAAGTGCTTAAGTCGTGGCAAACAAAAAGGTGTTTTTTATAAACCACCAATTCTGTCTTCAGCACTTCTCAGCATGCTGCTCTCCTGCGCTGAGCGCCTGTGAGCGTTGCTGAGCAGGGGACCAAACGCCGGGTAGTAAGAGAAAAGTGGGTTCTGTGAACACGCTTCCTCCTAGGAGTGCCGTGTGCTTTCTCGGTGTAAACGGGACGGCAGCCTGGACTCGGCGTGGCCCTTGAGGTGTGTTATTAGCCTAGGAGGGAGTACCAGGTGGGAGAGGCTGGTAACTCGGAGACAAGGTCCCCAGCGCGCTCAGATCTGCAGCCCTGTGGCCGGCATTATTTCAGAGAGCGAGCCCCTGGGCACTCCCGCCCTCCATTTCCGATTTAGTGCAGAGAAACGGCGGAGAATTCCTCGGAGGTCAAGGTTAGCGCATATGTCGCAGCGCAAACGTGCCATCCATCTCCTTAGCTGCCTGGAATCCGGGACAGTGCCTCATTTTTTTTTTAAACTTACTCCAAGCATGAAAGCCAATTAAATTTAAAAAAAAAAAAAAAAAGGCTAGCAGAATGAAATCCACGGCATCAGTCCCCATAACTCAGCACCTCGAAGGTGACTCTGGACGACAAGAGGACTCACCACGGCGGCGGCCCGGCCGATGCCCTGCGCGGCGGCGGTCAGCACGACGACTTTCCCGTCAAGCCGCCCCACGGCGGGGCCCGC